TGCTACCCATTTCGGTGCCCTTACCACAGATTTTTTCTCATTTCATTGCTTGTTTTTTTGTCATTACAAGCAAAAATATTGAACTACTTATCAGTATCTGTCGTTTTGTGCATTTCAATTTTTTGTAGCAGTGTTTTTTGTATCCATTTACAATAACTACAACTCTTCTTCATGCTCCGATCCAGTTTATCAGTTGGTAATCTACATTAAAAGCCAATGCAAAGACGGGCTCACATATTTAATCCTGTGAATTTAAAGTGGTACACTGAAGGCGGGACAATCAGATCTGATTGATGGCAACTTAGCCTATGAGGCTGACTGAGCTTCCCTCAGAAGGTCACGTTCTGTCTGGCCCCTGTCCACTGCACACTTCCACAACATATCCGGGGTCCTTGCCCTCCAAATTTGCTGCTGCACACACACATATGCACAAACACACACTGACATAAGAGCCTAACCCTCTTGGCGCCATGCTGTGACGGTGGTCAGGACCTCGCATGCTATCGGGGATCTGTTGTGGTGGAAGAGGCGAAAGCAGGAATAAAAAAAAATGAAATACAAATCAAAACTCGTAGTTTAACAGACTAACACACTACAAACCTGCTTTTGTTAAAACTACCAAAAATGCTAGATGTTTACGACACCTAGCAAGGTCAAAATGATCCCGGACAACTTTGAGAATTTTGCTAAAGCTTTTTAGAAAGTGATTCCTGAAGATTAACACCAGCGTTTCCTCTCCAGACAAGAGTTTACTCTCAAAAATATGTTGTTTTTTTAAACTCATTCTGAAACACTCGGGGTTTAAGCCATGATGGCAGGCCTGTGTAACCTGACTGACTAACGTGGAGGCCACTCTAAGACTTTAGACAGTGACTATACTGCCCCCTTTTGGTGAGAAGTGTATTCAACTCGGTTTAAAGATGGACAAAAACGTTTCACCAATGAATCTGAAATTAACAAAGCTACATCAAAATAATAATTGTAAATATTTATACTACTAGTTGCAAATACAAATTATTTTTCAGAACTGAATATATAATTAAAGTGATAGACATCTCTATTTTTTCTTTAATCATTAATTTTTTGTTATATTTATTTAGTGAAGTGCATTTTTGGCTCTGCCAAATCTCCTCTTACTAAATTAATTTCCTGGGCATTTCTAATTAATATTTATTTGGAGTGGCCATTTCCTTAATGATTCTGTATCATTTTAGTCTTAAGTTCTACTAATGCATTGGGGTTCAGTGATTATTTTGGATTTTCAGGGTTTCTCTGATCCTGGGCACGATAAATGAAGTGAGTAGCCCACAAGGAGACAGACATCTCGCTTAAGCTGAAAAGAGAGTGGGGGTTTGATCATTCCTTCGACAAGCACCAGAAATACATTGCAGAAAGTATTAGTCTGAAACAAAGTAGCCCCTAATCAAGAATGCACTTATATCATGCACAACCAACTGTAAGGAGATTAGAGAAATACTGCTCTGTCTTTTGTCACAGTTACTGTGAATTGTACATTGGCTAACGGCAAAAAGAAGCTTAAAGTTGGTGAAAATATAAGTTGTTGTTTTTTTTTCTATATATAAGAGTGAATAACCACAACAGGTGAAAACCACATGACACTTTAGGGAGATATAGAGTGACTTCTGGGTCTGAGAGGGAAACGTGGAAGGTGTTGACTAGATGCAAACGAGTTGGCCCCGTTGAGAAGCGACAGTGGAGCTGATAACCTACTTTCCATCCACCAAGAAAAGACCTCTTTATAAGGGCTTTCTGACTGAGCATCCCCCAAAATAACCCCCTCTGATCCTAAACCCTTGGACTGATGTGCATGCCAACATGTTTTCCCTCTCAGTGCAACTCGCAGCCCTATCCTGTGTAGCCTCACTCATTCGTAAAAATTAATCCTCTCTGTTGTTGAAAAAATAAAAAAAATATGTCGTAGGGTTATTGGCCGTGTTTAGAGCTCCTCCGTGGGTTCATGTTGTCCATTTTAAGTAGCTTTAGCTCAATGCACTTGTTTGTATTTGCAGTAATTATTCTACTTGGACTGCACAGAACAGGATTTGTGGTCAGCAAGACACAAAACAGGATTGTGCTGAAAGATTTCAGGGGTAAAAAGGGGAGCGAAACAGATCAATTTTGCGTGCTGGTAGGGTTTCCCTTCATGGCACACGTCACTGCTTGCATTAGACCAAATACTCCTTGCTGAAGTGAATTTTCATTTCTTATAAGGTGTGTTCAGATTTACAGCTTGACAGGCGCAGGAAATCACAGCCAAAAGATTTATTTAAGGATTCAAATAAGATCGCTTTTATATCATAGTGATCCAAATAACCTGAAGTTATCACAAAGTTATTGACAGTAAAATTTGTATCATCTTCTTCTCAACAGTAGAAGTACCAAACGTATTAAACCAATAACTGATGATACATAGTTCTCTCACAATTAGAGTGGAGAACATTTGGAGTCCAAAGCCTGACATTTAAAGTTTTTGATCATAAGAGGTTTATTCACCATGATTTCTGAACTTCATCTGATCACACCTCATCAGGTCAGGTTCAGATTTATGAAGTCAAGCTGATTTGATCATATTCTCTATGTGGTTCCATTTTAACCTCACAGTAACTTTGTAACAGCCAACATAACCTTTACAGTCATTTCTGCTTTCTAATTGGGAGTTTCTGGCACAACCTTCCTGGAACAACTACAAACTTTTTTTCTTTGTGATTGAGCTAAATTCAGGGTTCTCTTTGAACGTTTGCATGGTCGGTTGTTCACAAACTCTACATTATTTTTTTTTTAAACAAAGCCACAGCTCTATAATTTGACAGTAAACCAAGCTAACCAGTTTCTGACCCAATAATATCCAGCTCCACCCATTCTAAAAGGGCACCACACAGATTTCTATAAAATACAATAGTAATAACAAAATAAAGATGCTGTGCTTTCAGACCTCAAATACTGCAAAAAAAAAAAACCAGTTAATTTACATTTAGAAATGTCACCAATAATTTAACTTAGAAATAATAATAATAATAAACAGAAAATAACACAGTTCATAGTTGAAGTGCAAACAATAAAAAATTAAAAGAAATCGTGACTGAAGTAAAAATTAACATAGTGAATGAGTCATTTTCTCAACTGTGATTTTACCTCATTAAAAATTTCTTAAGCAACCAGCCATCATTTTCAAGTCGAAGTCCATTTAACAAATTAATTGAGTTTTCCAGCAGTAGGTCATATCATTTTCAATATTTGGTGGAATAACTACGAGGTTTTCAGTGGGGTTCAATGCAGTGGTCTCTTCATTTTTTCCAGAGCTATATAATTGTTTCTCATCTGTTCTTGAAATTCTTCAGCTCAGGGCATGGTGTGTTGTTTTTGAGGTATTTTAGCCGACTCCCTGTTATATTTCAGTATTTTTATTACAGAGTTGGCACACCCAGTAATTAGATTTAAGGGGAATTCACATTTTCACTTTGAACTGGACTGGGAGACATAACAAAAAAAAAATGAAATCATCACTTTAAAACTTAATTTTGTGTTTAGTCAGATAATCTTTGATAGTAAGAATTTGTCTCAAATTTTCAAACTAGTAAAATCTTCAAGGAGGCAAATATTTTATAGCATACTTCAAACATAAAATTGGTCACATTGTAATATTTGTGAGAAATTACCTACTCTTAAATGTTCTTTCAATGTTTATGCAAAAATGCGGACAGCGGAGCGGCAGATGTCATTCGCGTTGCCTCTGTCACTCTTCAAGTGATCTTCTGCCTTGAGAGCGATAGCCTGGCAATCTTATAATCAGTGGGAGTCTACGGAGAAGGGAGGAGAGCCAGACTGCAGCAATGGCTCCTCGGGAAAGAAAATGAAACACATGCACACATATCTGCAAACAGACAATTGCTTTGATAATGGATTAAGATAAATGTGATAGCTGTGGGAAAAATCTCAGCACTGTGTTTGTATATATGTAAACGGTAAACTCTGAACAGTTTCTGTAAAAATTTGAACGCAGGTTTTATTTAACATTGTAAAGTCAAGTTATTTTGTTTTTGTCAGTTTTTATGAAAATGAGCCAATGCTCTTCAGATCCATTTCTGAATAATTAAGAACCAATGAAACCTTTGGGTTTGCACACTCATTTTATACTGCAAGACTTTTGCTAATCCAATCACTTTACAGTGTTGAATCATAGACATAGTGTAAGTAGGCTCAAAATTGTAAGAATGCTGCATAAACCATCTTAAGCGCAACCTTGTCAGAAAGTGAAACCTAAAACACCAAAAATAGATACTTTTACAGTTACCTAGCATTCACTGATTGCTTCTAGTTTTTTTTTTCTGCACATTTAAAAAGTTGTGCAACAGCTCTTTTTCCAACCTGCAAAAGGCGCTGTGGTCAGCCATTGTGCAAGGAGCTGTGTTCTCATTCTCAGGCTCTTTGTCATATCTCAAGTGGATGCTATGTCAGTCCTGGGAACCCTAAAAGAAGATAAAGCTGTCGTTCTTGATGCCTGCAGGGCTCCCGAAGCACTGGAGAGTGCCCAGGACATGGAGCGGGATAATCAGGTACATAACAGAGGAGGGGGTGGCGGTTTCACAGAAGACAGGATATTAAGCAAAGCCTTACAGAGTCTCGCTATCACTGCACGAGGATTAACTGATATCTGGACAACATACTGTCCTTCACCCCTGCTGGAGCTGCTCCCAGATATTTTGAGGTCTGTTTGCATCTGTTGGTTGAAAACAAATGAGGATTAGTTTGCACTAAGTTTTTCCCCTCCAGAGAATCAAAATGAGGATGTTCAGTTTTTCCCCTCCAGAGAGTCAAAATGAGGATGTTCAGTTTTCATTTATCTATATATAAAATGCTGTTTTTTATTTGCTATAATGGCACTGTCTCATGAACGTTTATCAGTAAGAAAACCCCCAAAAAAACTCTAAACACAGCAAAGTGCATCCCAGTTTTAGACACACAACCACAACAAATATACATGAGTTAACACGTTTAACTTTATTTACAATTATCAAAGTATAATAACAGGAGTTTTGAGGAGAACGACATGCATGGAGCATGGAAAAAAAAATCTAAATTTTCAAAAACTACAAATCAGACTTGTACTTTTTGTTCTCTCTGTCTGACATTAAATAGGACTAAACTGGGACTCGGCAAGAAATCAGCCACAGTAAATATTGCATACATATTGGCAATATAAGATTTGTCCAATAGAATGTTCAATTTCACTGAACTGCACAGCAATCTGGAGAATGTAGGCAGAGGAAAAGAATTTAGCAACCCACTAAAAGTTGGTGGCATCAACCTTTTGGTTACTGTTGCAATGACCTGTTTAGTAACTTGCACAGCAGCAGTTTCAGGTTCTGCCAAAGTGCCGTATCACTGCAAAAAAAAAAGTTTTTAATTTAAAAAAACGGTGTTGAAGAAATTTCCTATCTACAGTTAAAAGAAAATTGTTGATGAAACAGGAAAGGTCACGTCACCAGTTTGCAGCATTTCAGGTATGCAAAACAAAATGAATCAGTAATTATCGATATTGATTGATATAAAATGCTTATTCTTTTCTGTTTTAAATCCATTGTGCTTTGCCAAATATATATATATATATATATATAAACTTTTCTTTTTCCTCTCATACTTGACCAGGCAAGAAGACCCAATACATCCAAGAGGAAAAAAAAAACCAAGACGTCTCTCTTCTTATACATTTCTAATGAAGACAAGACACAGGATAATGTCTCTTTCAATGTATTTAGTCAATCAAATCAAAACATACAGTTTCAGCCAAGTTTTGGAGGAATATAGTCCATCTGATTGGATCATCCCTCTCTGGAGTCAGGAAGTTGTGTGTGTGTATGTGTGTATGGTGAGGCATAAACCTTCAAAGTCCACAAGGTTTTCATCACACCAGATAGTCCTGTAGGTCAGGGTCACAAATTTTACCATGACAACTATAAAAACATGGAGATTCATGAAACTCCTCATCAAGCCCCTTGTGGTGCAGTCAGCCCTCTGCAGTCGTCTCTCCCTCACAGCCTCTTCCTCATCTTGCCCTTCTTCTGCCCTCCACGTCCGAAGCCCGACTTCTTCATCTCTCCCACCCACTGTTTGTTCTTGCTGCGGATTCTCTTCATGCCGCCGCCCTGCAGGAACTGCTGCTTCTGCTTCAGCTTGCGGTGCTTCAGGATCTGTGAGCTGGATTTCAACTCAGATCGGATCCTGCGCCCGCCTGCCGTCACCTGGGGAGCCGCGGGGCTGTGGGAGCTGGGTCCTCGCCGGCCCCGGCCCCGACCTGCAAGACAAAATAAAGAGAGCAACTTTGTCTTTGTACTGTCAGTCAGATAACATTGGTATCACTTCAAATAGAAAGGGGGGAAATGTCATACCCCCTGCAGATCTTTTCCTTCCACCCGTTTCTCCATCTGAACCAGGTCCCGCATCATCGACTTTATATTTCTTCTTCCATTCCTCGTAGCTGACAGATTGTCAAGTGACATAGCACACAATAATGCAGCTGAAAAGATGGAAGGTCAGAACAGAGACAACAGGCTCAGAAATGGAAACTTTGATAAAAGGATACAAGTTTTTCCGTTTCTTGTTGTGCACAATCTGTCCGCTCTCGGTTCTGATCTTCTTGTTTTGCTCCTCCTTTCCTGACTCTTTCACAAAACGCTTCCTCTTTCGGTCCCTATAGGTTAAAAAAAACAAAAACATGAATTACAGTGTGAAATACTCAAATGAGAGACATTTAGAAAAGGAGGCATAAGGTTTGATGTCAGAGAGTCGATGAGTTTAAATCACCATCTCATAATGTTTTTGTGCTGGTTTAACTGGTCGCCCTCGTCTCCCATGAGGTCGAGGACAGCTGAGGAGGCCTGCTGTTCAAAATGAGTGCCTTCTCCACCGAGACTTAATCTGGTAACAAAACATCATAACATGAGTTTAAATACAAAACATTTCGTTTTAAATGCAGATAAATAAAAAGAAAACCTGTGTCCTCTCCTCACCCTCGCTCAGAGTTGAAGTCTTTAGGTCTGTAAGGGATGAAATACTCCTCCTCTTTGCCCGTTTCCCTTCTTTTCTTATTCTTTGGGCGTTCTCCATCTTCCTGCACGTTCCATTTCTTAACTCCGAGCACCTCTGAGAACACCCCCTGGTGGAGACATTGAGGATTGCATGTACAAATCTACCACAAAATGCTGGCTATGATAGCTGAGATAAAAACCCAGCTGTAACTTTTTTTTTTAGTATGTTCAAACCAAAGTGAAAAACATCCCATGATTATCTATTTTTTTTACTGACCTATCAATTTCCTTAATCTACTTGTCTGAACTGAAGTTCCAGTTGTCTTGAATCCAAAAACCTTTTATTGATTCCAGTGTGCTTTTAGCTCTGAGTGGTTTTTATTCAGGAATCAAAAGTAAAATATTAATGGGTAAAATGTCTGGCTTCTTAATGATAAAAAAAAACATTTTGTTTGCTCAGATTCAAATAAATGAAATGTTCAACAAATAACCACAAATCATGATACTACAGTTTCTTAGGACTGAAAAATACCATGAGACGGTTGTAATTCTCACCTATTTCACTATTCTGCTATGGATCCAAGTCAGACTTGACATACCTCATTCAAAATTTAAATTCCGGTACTTTTGTGTTAAAGGTATACTTTAATCTGAGCATAATAATTATACGTTAACCACAATTTATTGAGATTCATAAAATATTTACAATGCTACAGAAATCCTGCAATTTATCTTGTTTTTTGACATTAAAACAAGTCCACAGCAAACACATTTTTAAATCTAGCTTTTCTGGGTTTTTTTTACCTTTACTTCTGAAAACAAAAAGTATTCTTGGATTTCCTAGTTGTGAAATCAATATTTGTTCAATATTTACTAATTCTTTGTGATGATTTAGATAAGTGGCCTTCAATAGGAGGCCCGGAGTCCACGAGCTGCTTATTTTGACTCACTAAAAAACTTACTTTTTTACCCTTTAATATTTTTATGCAAGTAACCCTGATTTAGATTGGAAGCCTTCATGCTCTTCAACCCAGAGTGTCTCGAAAGCAGGTTAAATTGAAGCAGATCTGGCTGTCTCTGATTAGTTATACACACTTATCTGCTTAAACCAATGAATAAAGAGAATCAGGCACGTTCACTATTCTCAAACACACAGATATGTTTAAGATCTGACACTCTAGTTCAGAATTTGCTCACAAATACTTTTAGTTGCTAAATTGACTTTTGACATATAAAGTTTACTTTGTCACTAAGGGTCAGTTGATCTGTATTGATTACCTGCAGATCTTCCTCCTCGTTTCCTTTTTCCTGACCCTCGTATTCACCAGCAGTGGTCCTGGGGGGAGCCGCCTGCTGCAGCCTGCTTCCTGCCGCCACATCCTCTCTGTGTTTGTTGAACTTATCCACCACCTGCTTGTCCTTTGACCGTTTCTTCCGCATCACCTCACTTGCAGGCATCTTACTGTTAGAGTTGATTTCGAAAATAGTCTGAATGAAAAGGACAAATAAAACAGTATTTAAAGACATTGGTTCACAGCAAATTCCAGCTTTAAGGGGACCCATCCGTGAACTCACTGATTTGGACTTATAACTCTTAATTGCATCGACCAACTGAAGACGTTCCAGCTCATTTTTCTCCAAGCCAGAACCTAGAAAAAAATATTAAAAATTAAACGTCGGCCGTGCTGTGATATGAGCCCATTTTTAAAAAGCTTCTTCCTCAAACTAACCGAGTAACGGATGTACGGCCATGCTGGACACATCGGTGCTTTTCACCCGCCTGACTGACTCTGCCGACGGGTTCGGTCTGGACTTCAGGTACTGCTTGTAGGCGTTCTCTGAGACGCGATGCAGGTTCTGCAGGTCCAGGGAGTTTTCATGAGCCGTGATCAGATGGGAACCTTCATCATCCAAGATGCTCTGAGGGACTCTTCCAAACATACCGTCTGCATCTGGAAAAACATTTATAAAAACAAAAAAATTAAACCTCAAACAGTTTTGATTACGACAAGAGCTGAAAGACCATCGACAACGTTTACCTTCTGTGTTGTCAACTGTCGCAAACTGAACAGGCCTTCCAAGGAACAGGTGGAGATCATAGACATACGGCATTTCATCTGGACACACCATGCTGTACGCTGTACCACTGCGTCCTGCACGTCCCACACGGCCTGATTGGATGAGACAAGATGTACTTCAGTCTCCTAAGCTCCAATAATAATTGAGGAAAACAAATATATGAGGTCAAAGAATAAAGCACCAACCGACTCTGTGCAGGAAGAGTTTTGCTTTGGAGGGAAAGTTGTAATTGATTACATTGTCCAGCAGGGGGATGTCTATACCACGAGCTGCTACATCAGTGACAATAAGCACCATGGCTTTCCGGTGCACAAACTTCCCAATGTTGATCTTCCTGGCAGTCTGGTCGAGGGCGCTGTAGATGTATGCGCACTCAATGCCTTCAGAAGACAACAGCTGCAGGACACACCGAAGCATTTTTTACTTTACAGTATTCAAAGAGATTTTTTTTCCTTGTTCAACAGGGATTACACATTTTTAATTTCAAATGCTTCAAGGATGTATGAGAAAAATTGAGGACTGGATGGAGTGAAAAAAAAAGATCAAACGAAAGTGAAATCTAAAAGTGTTTTTGGTTCAGTTCCTAGTGCAAATATCGCAATATGACAAGTTATGAGTAAAATAATCTACTAGTGAAAAAAGACATTTTAACATATAATATTGGAAAAATACTACATACTACTGGCAGATTATTTCACTTATAACTAGGACTTTTTCATCAATATTATAAAATTATTAACTTAAAACAAGCTCTTGTATCTCGCTGGAAAATTACTTTCAAGTTAGGTTTGTCCTATTTCAAGGGCACGATAATTGTGCTTTAAACTAGTTAGATCAAAAATACTTCAGATTTTCTGTTTTTGCAGTGAGGGACATAAGTAGAAAAGGGACAAAAAGATGGACTGATTGATACCTGGATGAAAATACAAACATTTTTTCCCAAATACTTTTTTGTTCTGTTGCCACACTCAAGCAGGCCTGGTTAACCCTGACCCCAAACCAAATTCAACACTTTCCCAGACAGTTTAGAAGCTGTGTTCGATTTAAAATATTCTAAGATGCTGTATAAAATATCAGAAAAATCTTAATAGATAGATATCAATCTCAATCAAAGGCAAGCCAGAAACTGAGATAGAGCTGTAAAACAAACACTATGGTGTTTGTTGTTGGTGTGGTAGTGAATCTCACCTCATTCAGGTACTCCACATGATGCTTGGTTGCAGCAAAGACCACCGTCTGCTCCTGAGGCTTTGCCACATTCCTTAGAAGGTGCAGCAGCAGCGCCGGCTTGTCGTCCACACGCAGGTGGAAGAACGACAGCTGATGGACGACATGATCGGAAAACATTTGAGGATAGCTGGACATTCATTTTACTCTGTGAAACTGATCAGTGATTAAAATCACTTTCATTGACGTCTTTGGAAATTTGGGTGAAACTAAACAAATATTTAGTTATTTCAATGTCAGACGACAAAATTAGAGAAGGATTATGAATCCATGTTAGGATTGTGGATGCATGACTTCAAATGGACAAACTAACATTAATGTCTTATAATGAGACAAAAGCATATAAATATTATCTATTTGACTGTAAACAATAGTTTCTTCTGCTAATTTAAATCAACTTATTCTGTGAAAAAAATTGCTGCCACACATCCAAACAAAAATTCACTGATGGCTTCCCCAACAAATGGAAACAAGAGCTACTGCAGAAAATGGTTCGTATATTCAGTCTCTAACTTACCTTAATCTGGTCACTGAGTTTTGTATCAACATCCAGGCGAATCAGCACAGGTTCTGTTAGCCCTGGAGACAGAAGTTAATTCAGTCCAAACCAGATTAAACTTTGGTGGCAAGTCACGAAAGAGCGAAACGGCTGATCTCACCGGCTCTGGCGAACTCCACCAAGAGTTTGGGCAGAGTGGCGGAGAACAGGAGGGTCTGTCTGGTGTCTGGAAGCCTGCGGATGATCTCCTGAAGCTGCTCTGCAAAACCCATTTCAAACAGCCTGAAAGGAGGGAGCGAGGGAAAACAAAAAGTCAAATCTTTTCACTGCAAAAGATTTCATGCAGCGCTTCAAGACCGAAAAGTTGACTTGAAGTGAATTTAAGGAATGAATTTTCTGCACAAGAGAGAAATAAATGCCTTTTCAAAGATGAAATTTTGTAGAAAATTGTGGTGTCTTGATTTTTATTAACCAATCCTTCACTTTAAATTAAATGTCTTTAATCGTCTGTCTTGGCTTTCGTAAGATTTTAATTTGTGTCATCATTTTATTTAAGGACTAGAATCAGTATAAATTTTACCATTAATTTTTTTTCTTTTAAATGTATGTGAATTAACCAGTGAAGCTTGTGTATTAAAATTTGCACTAAATCCTTCCACAGGCTATAAATGGACACCCCTGTGTTTGATCATGTGCTAGAATGGTCTAGAAAGATGAGACCATTCTAGTCTCTGCATTTGCAAATTTAGTTGAAACAAATATCAAAATAAAAATATATCTTTTTTTTATTTTGATAAAATAAAAATAGAAATAAATAAAAAGTAATGTTTGGAAACATGGCTTTTAAAAACATGGCTTTTGGAAAGCTACGTTTCATTTACCATCCACTTCATAAAAACCGATTGTTATTGGACTATCACATAAAATTACAAGTAAAAACAATGAATGTTGTGTTTATTCTATGATAAAGTGAAACAAAGCTACTCGTATGTGAATGCCTTTGAAAGGAACTATGATTTACCTGTCAGCCTCATCAAACACCACATACTCCACACTGTGCAGCTTCAGGTTCATGTCTGTGATGACGTGCATGAGACGACCAGGGGTGCCAATAATTCTGTAGGAAGAAAGTAGATTTAATATTTTTACTTTCTTAACATGCATATGGGTAAAACTATTTGAAGGATGATGCTAAATTGAAAAATTTACATGTCTGGGTTTTCATGAAGCGCGGCGAACTGATCCTCCATGCTGGAAAAGGGAGATATTAACGTTTACCACACATTTAAAGAAGCAACAAAATTACAACAAAAAAAAATCTACAAATGAGGGGTCACAAACCTGTCTCCACCAAGAATTAAAGCAATCTTCAAGCGTGTGAATTTACCCAGCTAAATAACAAAAGAAAAAACAAAATCAGAAGAAACTTTACTCAACATTAATTAACGTTTAAGATGTTTCAAACCAAAAGAATAAAAACACTGCAGCCATCTTGAAAACCTGAATATATGCCAAACGGACCTCTTTAGTGAACTTCATGGTCTGGAGGGCCAATTCTCTGGTGGGAGTCAGGATGAGAGCTCGGGCTCCTGTTTGGGCTTGAGGGGCCTTCAGTTTCTCAAACATGGGCACCAGAAAAGCAGCCGTCTTTCCACTGCCTGTCCTTGCCATGGCAACGACATCTTTCCCATCCAGAATCACAGGAATGGTCTGATGAGGGGAAGAGAAGAAATGTAACACCAAGAATGTCACAACTATTTCACAACATGATCCAAAGATAAGACTGACATACCTTCCTCTGAATTGGAGTAGGGACTTTGTAACCCTTCTTCATGACGCCCTTATAAACTGGAAAGCTGAGACCTGGAATTACATGTAAAGTTATGAAACTCTACTGACTGTAGATCAAGAAAAGGCATATTCAAAAGTAAATAAATAACATGCCGTAAAGCAGTGAAAAGCAGCTCCTCCTGTGAACTCACCCATGGACTGAAACCCTCCAGACTTCTTCTTCTTCTTGTTTTGGGCTCGGACGAGTTCCCTGGTGTCGGGCTCCACATCAGATGTGCAATCTGACACCGCAGGGAAGCGTGGCAGTTTCTTCCCTGGCTGTTAGCATCAGCAAGACAACATGTCCATCACAAGTTGGTAACACTGAATTACCAGGCACAGCATGATTGTTATAGTAGGTACTAGAGGTGTGCTAATCAATCGGCCACTGATCATTATCAGCCAATTTCCGTGAAAAAGTGTATGATCGGTGATCACCAATCACAACTTCTTGTTGCCGATCACACAAACTGATCACCTGTATCTAACTTCGCAGCCTATATGTGCAGTTCATCTTCTTTTTCAATCACACTGCGCAAGCACGTGGCAACAAATCCTAAGTGTTGTTGTGCGGAACTATAACGTTCTAAAAAAGTGTTGCGATGGAAAGTTACCTCAGGGGTGAAGAACTTCAACCTACATCAACAAGACAAATCTAATTTATGACATTTAAAAACCAAGCACTTGAGGTAGTTTGGCTACACTGGAAGAAAAACAAGACATCCAGAGCGGCCAGATAACAGTTAAAGTAGCGCACAACTACCAACACTCACCCGAATTAGCATGACAGTCAGAAAGCTAAAGAAATAATCCCAAAAAAATAATTTAAGTCAATGAGCTAGCGATGTTAGATGCTGGTTCTGCTCTCCTGCTACGCTCTCTTGATAGTAATATTTCACAGACGGAACGTCGTTCAACCTCCACCAGACGGTGAACTCTCACAGGAACATCTGATTAGAGCTGCAGCATGTAACTTAAAAACAAAAGATTTTACATATGTATTAAAACTTTTACTGTCCTAACATAAGACAATCTCTGAAAAAAAATTTAACTCCTCTGCCTCCTCCTGGCATTCTGCAGAATTACTCCGCTCAGTCAAAATATCTGAGCCAGCACAAAACAATGCCAGGATCTGAGGAAGTTTTGATTTAGTAACTCAGGATTGTTTATTTTGATGCAACCTATATATGACTTTGAATGAATGTTTCCCTTTTTCTTGACATCATCTGATATATGTAATGTTGTGAGATTTATTTGACTTGTATAATTTAGGGTACATAGAACCTTACTGCTAAATATTATTTTACTGATTGCAGGTTTTTAGTTGTCCTTTTGACTGAATAGCTGCTGTATTGTGCCTGCAAGTATTTTACATGTTCTATGTCTAAATAATTGAAAGTTTGTATCCTTTTAAATGTTTTGTCCAAGCTGTCCTTCGTAAACAGTCATTGTAACTGACACTCAATGACTGTTTATGTCAATACACACTCACGCTAAAGTGACCCAGATCTAAATCTTGATATGTTTGGGAAGCCTTAAAAATAAATTTACAATCACTTACACTTTCCCTCAAATGTGAAATTAGAATGGACAAGCATTTCTGTCTTTGAATGTCCAAAACTGGTAGAGACACACAAGTCAGCTGCAAGTGCTAAAAAAATGAACAAACGTGAATAAACTAACCAAGGCAGAATACAAATTGACAACACATTTGTATGTCCCAATGAAATACTTTGAAGTGTGGAAAAAGTCTAAGGGATGTGAATATGTTTGTAAGCCTGTGGATTCAAACACTACTATTTTAGTCACTCTGAGGGAAAATGGTATTTGCTGCCATGTTTTGGTGACTATAAAGAATCAGCGTAATGTTAAGAAACTGCTTTGAACTTTACCGTTTTCTGCAGGTGATCGAGTATAATGTTGTTTACAAGGAAGTGATAGTGGCTAAAACAATGTCTCACTGTGTTTAGTCAATCTGGTCAAATGCTCTACCACTGAGATATACCTGTGTGCAGACAGCCGCCCATGCTGCCACTAGCAAACCGATGAAGACACTTCGATGTAGAAAACATGCTGATTATTTTTCTAGGAAAAGTAGTTCAAAACACTTGTGACTTACAGTATCATCGTCTTTAATTTCAGCAGCCAGCTGAAAGTCTCCACCATCAGAGTCGACCTCCTGCTCCCTTTTAGATGTGTGTCTTTTTTTCTTGGTTAGCTTCTTCCTTCTCTGAGCCATCTTGCCACCTTGATGTCTTTACGGTCGGCTTTTAAATGTATAAACAGATAACGAAAAAAACAGCTTATTTCTTCCCCCTACAGCATGTCACTCCTGGTAGATACGTTGAGCACGTGGAGAAGAAAAAGCTTTCTTCTGCTTTGGTCGTCGCTTGAACTCGATGTCGCCACCTACTGCCACGGAGGATTAAGCGCCGTTCATATCGCCGCCTCTGTTCGTCACAGGTATGTTTTCAAGTTTGTAAGTGCAGGTGCTTTATTGGTGATTCTGTTATTTTTAAGTTCCCTTCTCTTTTTTCAGTTTTATAAACTGCGCTAGAGATAAGGAGATAAGATTTTTTTTACAGTTTTATTTATTTTTCCTTACTTATTACTAAAATATGTCCTCATTATTTATTCCACGGGCCATCATCATCAATCTTGTGTTACTCCAGAGTTTTTCTGACTACCTGGAGCTCACTGTTAGCTGTCCCCTCACACACCTGCCTTCCTGTCTGCATGAAACTGTTTCTTTATGAACATTTTCACTCCTTCTTACCGGGCAGCAGCAGCTAACCTGAACTCTTCCTCAATCTGTCCCTGGTCACGTCCCTCTCATTGTCCTCCTCCGACAATAATAAAGCCCCTGAATCGCTCCTTGTCCGCTACTGAATCTCCTCCAACGGTCAAAGTTAGTGTGGTAATTAACATATCGGTTTTATTTGTTAGTTTGACACATTTTTCTAAATGGGCTTCTTAGATTTTGTCGTAGTTTTTCTGACCCACCCCATCTCGTACCCGCTCATTTTCTCAAGCTGTGTGAATCATTGTAAATAGTTGTTACTCATGAAACATACAGAGATGTGCAAATGTCTTTAAAAGGCAGTTAGATAATTTACAAAAATTTGTTTTCTTAACTGCAGTTGTCTTGAAACTTATGTTTTAAAATTTTTCTCCTTGAGGTTGTCTTAAGTATTTTTTTAAATCAATGTATGGTGTACAATTATAAAATATAAATAGTTATGGATTTTTTTGTTTTTACTAGATATTGTAAATTGTACTTGATTTGTTTTCCTCGCAATTCAACTTAATACAAAAAGAAAGTCAAGTGTGCTGCTAAAGTGTGTTTTAATTGAATATTTTTTGCAAAAGTCTAGACATTAACTTTTTACATAGCATTACAACAATTAACATACAGAAACAATTTAGTCTGCAACACAAAATGGGCCTTGATAATTTGCCAGAACACAACAGTTGTGCCAGATTTGATTGACAGTTCCTATTAAAGTGAGAGGCACCGGGGAATCCCAGATGTGGTAGCACTTTACTCTAGCGATTGCTCGCTCTACAATGATCCACAGCCGAGAAATGGTCTGGCTCTTATCTGTCTCTTCCTTGCTGAACTGACCAGGATGCCTAAATGGTGGAATGATGAGTTTGGCTCCAACTTCATGAAGGAGGTCTTGAATGAGGAAGCTTTATCTGCCATAACTTCATCTCCAGCTCAAGCAGAGGAAGGATTCCACTGACCTTCGTTATTTCTTTGTCGAGATGCAGCCTGTACAACGCTGAAATAAATGTCACCAACCCACAGAGAGCAACTCAATCAGCCCTTTGAGAGTGGTGTGGTTCTTGTAGGCAGAGAACGTTTCAGACTGTAAGGTGAGGGATGCTGGCGTTTCCAGAGCAACTTGTGTGCAGTCCAAGATGACACAGACATTTGGAGAGAACTTCAGAAATTTCTGAGGCATACTGGCTTTTACCTTCTCACGACTAATCCACAGGTTGATGGAAGAGAACACAATGAAGAGGTAGTTGGCCAGGTGATGGTCACTCGGCTGACAGTAGCTATGCTGAGCAATGAGCTGCTCCTTCATGCCCACAGCTACCTTGAATGAGTACATCAGGAACTCATCAATCAGAGGCATGAGCGGGCAGGGCTGGCTTCAGCACATGTTCCTCTCCAAGTTTCTGTGCTCTGGTCCAGTACACCAGGCGTGATGCAGAGGGTGCAATGGACTCCCAGAAGATCCGGAACACACATTCAGATGGAAATTTGGTGTAAAACCGGATCTGGTCATCAGAGGCACAGTAGCAGCTAAAAAGTGTGGCAAACAAATCCACTTTTTGAAGTCTGGCCTCCAACTCCTTAATATAATCCAGAGCTTCATCAAGCGCACCTGTAAAACCACAAAATAAAATAGCAAAACATACGGTTAGCAATAAGTTTTAATTATATATTCGAAACATTACTTCTGTGAAGATCAATACATGTTGTGAGTCGGAGCATGTATTTATCCAGCTATTGACTTAATCTCTCCACAAAATACATAACCACATAATCTCATAATTTCATTATTATGTGATCATAATAATAATATTATTATAGCAACAGTCATATTTTACTGAAATTCTCTTACATGGAAAATATATACAATATACTATCTTGTACCTGAGGGTGGACGTGCCGTGTAGTCATGGTCCGCAGTAGCATCTTCAGCCTGGCTAGCTTTCTGAAAAGACAAACTGCCGTTTCTTAGCCCTCTCGAAAGCAGACTCTCTCATTGCCGGTGCAGTGAAGTTATTCTAGACAAACGGGGAAGGAACAGCTCCACTTTTAAGGCGGCGGATGGTGGATCCGCTAACAAAATCCTCCGGTGTGAAGTGGCGGATACATACGAAAGTACTCCCTGTCTTTATGCAAAAGTCCGGACCTTCGTCTCTTCGGATCGCCTGGATCCACTGCCTCCGTTGGTCCGGGTCCGTCGGGAACGCATGATATGACAGATAAGGCTGTTTTCTTGCTCCACATGAACAACCAGGGACTGAAGAAAAACAACTGCGCCGAGACTGAGCCATTTTCCTAGCCTTTCAATGCTAACGCTATAGCCACCGGAAGTTGTCCAACCCCACATCCGCTTTATAAAACGCATGCGTACAACCGGCCCTCCCCGCGCATGCGCACAACCACTTCTGCCCCGCGCATGCGCACAACCACCCGGGCCCCGCGCATGCGCACAACCACTTCTGCCCCGCGCATGCGCACAACCACCTGGGACCCGCGCATGCGCACAACCACCCGGGACCCGCGCATGCGCACAACCACCCGGGCCCGCGCATGCGCACAACCGCCTGGCCCCGGCGCATGCGCACAACCGGGCCCCGCGCATGCACACAACCATTCGGCCCCGCGCATGCGCACAATCTCCCAGGCCCCGCGCATGCGCACAACCCCGGGCCCCGCGCATGCGCACAATCTCTCAAGCCCCGCGCATGCGCACAACCACCCGGAACCCGCGCATGCGCACAACCGGGCCCCGCGCATGCGCACAACCGCCCGTGCCCAGCGCATGCGCACAACCGCCCGGGCTCTTGCGGGTGGATGTGCCGTTATCATGGTCCGCAGTAGTATCTTCAGCCTGGCTAGCTTTCTGAGAGAGGACAAACTGCCGTTTCTTCGCACTCTCGAAAGCAGACTCTCTCATTGCCGGTTCAGTGAAGTTATTCCAGGCAAACAGGGAAGGAACAGCTCCACTTCTACGGCGGCTGGTGGTGGATCCGCTAACAAAATCCCGGTGTGAAGTGGCGGCTACATACAAAAGTGCTCCCCGTCTTTATGCAAAAGTCCGGACCTTCATCTCTTCGATCGCCTGGATCCACTGCCTCCGTTGGTCCGGGTCCGTCGGGAATGCATGATATGACAGATAAGGCTGTTTTCTTGCCCCACATGAACAACCAGAGACTGAACAAAAACAACTGCGCCGAGACTGAGCCATTTTCCTAGCCTTTTAATGCTAACGTTATAGCCACCGGCAGTTGTCCAGCCCCACATCCCCTTTCAAACCCGGAAGCGTGAAAAAGGTCTATTTCTTTGTTAAATTATGACAGCGTAGGGCCGCCAGATATGGACGGTAAATGCATCAGTCTGGACTTCAGACAGTCAGTCCTCCCCTGAACAGAAGTTCAAACTGAATGCAGATTTTTTTTTTATGTAGAAATTGTCAACCTGCCACAGTGGCGGGTGCGTTGCTCCAATCTAGGGGCCACTTCACACTTTTACCCGCATTTGGCCAGTGGAGGGTCCTCATTTCCACCCCTGCATGAACACTGGTTTGCCATTCTCAACCTTACTTTTTACAAAACTAGTTATGACTGTTTTTTTTTTTCTTCACCTTTGTTAAATGGTCAGATTCAAGACCCTCTATGTTCCTGTCAAAAAGCACAAGATGGTGGAAGTCAACAGGTTTGTCCAGTGTGTGTACTTCTTGTTTGTTTCTCTTATTATGAGGCAGTGAAAGGTTAGGTTTTGGTCATCTCATTTCTGTAGCAAGAAAAACTCTATAGTATTTGAAACTATCAAGGGAATTAAATCGCCTTTAGTGACATAGTCAGCGTTCTGGATAACTTTCTGATGATGGCTGCAACACATTTTTCATTTTCTTAATAAGGTAATGGTCTTGGAATCTGATTTCCCTTCCTTATATGGATAGTCCTCAGTGCTTGGAGTCATTTGCTTCTTTTCCATCAATTACACTGGATGAGTTGTCTAAATTTATTGGCATCCTATCTTAAACATGCTGAGGTAATGTCTGTACTAAAGCAATTCAGTATTCATGGCAGTGTTATTGGTAATTATTAGCCAATTTCAAAGCTGCTTTTTTCTTACTAAATTATCAGAAAAAGTTGTAGAAAGTTAGTGCAGATCACTTTTAATTAAGTTACAGATTTTCTGCACAGAAAAAAATGTGCAGGATTTCTTATTAAAACCAAGATTTGTGTCTCTGAGCTTAAGAACTTTCCTGATATAAAATAATACTTATACTTTAATATCACAAAAGACTGTGAGAAAAATAGAGGCATTTGAATGAAACAATAGTTTATAATCCCCCATCGAGCTGCTGTTGATGCAAAATACATCATTCTGTGTTAAAAAAGAAATCTCTCAGTCCCAAATATTAAACAGACAGCTGTGGCTGAAAATACTTAACCAGAGAGCAAGCTGCATGGGGATCAAATCTGAAGCATTGCATTTATTTTTCTTATTTTTGCAGTTTGAGCAAGCCTGCAGCATAAAATGGGCACTTCAGTAACATGTTGTCTTATTCTGAAAATGTGTTTTATTGCCATTGATTATTTTTGGAAAA